ACCTTCTTCTGCCACAGGTCTATTGGTCTAATGGTTTATGTCATGGACTTTCATGTGGGAGGTCATGGTTCAAAATCCAGCTAATGCAACTTAAGCAAAAAATCTTTCACTTCAAACTTAATTGTCAAACAATTACCTTAATTACAAACACCTGCTGACGTGACAGGCACAAGCTGGTATAGAAAACACATTTGAACTTGGTCAAAGTTCATTCTGCAAGTCCAATGTGGCAGGCATTGCCATGGTGCACTGACATGCTACATGGCAATGCACACTTGTTTTTACACCGTAAAAACCCATGTCTAGTTTATTCTTTATTTTCTCCCCCTTGGTCAAGCAGGTCAACAGTCTCCTCTGAGCAACATGCTGATTATATTCAGCTGCTCATTTAAAGAATGTGAGTTTTATAAATTAAGTAACATTTACCTGCAGCTGAACTCAGATTCTCTGATTATTGCAGCAGAAAATGAAGCAGTTTCTGGTGTTTTAGCTCACAAGCCTCAGAAACTTGGTGTCATTTTTGATTCTGTGATGTTTTCAAAGCAACATAGGAAGCAACAGTTTATTCACGTTTAAACAAGAAGGAGCGTCTTCAGCTGGTCCAGAACTCAGCTTGTTTACAACCAAACAGCTGACATCACAGCTGTTTTAGCTTCTCTGGCTCCCAAAATTACATTTAAACTCCTGGTTTTAAACTTTTATCAATCTTGAGGGGATTACATTTTTGTTTCTTGCTTTTACTGTGAAACACTTTCAGAATTTGGTGGATTATGTGGTTTTTCTTGATTTTCTCACCAGAAAGCAGAAACCTGTTGCCTGAAGTTTGCTGTAAAACATGCGTCTGCACCTGTCTCTTTATGCACTTTACAAAAGTCTGCCTTTATGTGTCTTATAAATAGATTACAGATGGGTTATTAATTCATCTGTAAATCATTAATACGTGTTTATTACATATTAATTAAGGATGAGAAAGAGACAAAACTGTCGGGTTTCTTGCCAAACATCCAAATCTGATTGTACATATTACATCTAAATATGCTTATTAAACATTTCACGCTATGTTACCTTGTAAGCACAATAACGTGTTAGAAACCCATATTTTACACATTGTTAGTCTCATAGCCTAACTGCCCAGGACATATTTGGTCACAAATGACTTAGGCATATATGCTATGAGGCTAACAATGTAAAGTATTACTGCATTAAACTTATCCACAGTTATTAAGGGAGCCTTATTGTAAAGTGTAAAACAGCACATTATTTAAAAGTCTCCCTTATGACATTTATACACATTTATTGGTCATTAATGAAAAAGGAATATCTACTTTTTTACACTTTACGATAAGGGTCCCTTAATAATTGTTTTAATGCAGTAATACAGTACAATATTATATGTAAAATATGTGTTTCCAATACATTATTGTGCTTACAAGGTGGAAACCTACTCTGAAATGTTTAATATGTACAGGAACAGATTTGGCTCACAATTTGGCAAGAAACCGGTCAGTTTTTCTCTTTCTCGTCCTTAATTAATGCTTAATAAATATTTATTAATGATTTATAAAGTGTTTACAGATGAAAACTTATCTATAAACTATATATAAGCCATCTATAAGGGGAGCCTTATTGTAAAGTGGTACAGTTTTGTTTAATGCAGGACTCACTTTCAGTTTCCTCTCCTCCTGAAGGTTTCACCAGAGTCTCTGCTGGTCGTGAATGGTTGCCTGTGTTTGTGATGAAGTTTGGACCGTGGAGCAGAATTAGCAGGAAATAAGGATCAATATTTTAGATTAGCCTCTGCAGAGTTGATAAAAGACTAAACTCCCAGATTAAAAGACCTCTGACTCAAATGTCCTCCATCATCATCACCATCATTATCATCATCATGTGAGAGGAAGTCTTTGAGCCGTTTGTCCCTTCGAGCGATGTCCCAGAAGGTCCATGAAGAAGAGATCCAGTTGGAAAGAGACTCCCCCTCACTCCACATCTGATGCAATCTCATCTCCACATCAACAATCAGCGACCAGTGGACAATTCTGTTTATCTGCAGGAAGAAGGGAAAAAAACATCCAGTTTGAACAGAAAGTTTCTGAGGAAAATCACATCAGTTCTGTAAAAAAAAAAAAAAAAAAAAA